ATTCATAATACTTGCATCCTGAAAAGAACTGTTCATTAGTCAAAACACATTGCTACAACCCTATCCCCTCTCTAACCCAAGGTTGGTTATATCATCTCAGTAAAGGGAGACAAAAATACAGATATGAGCAATTAATAAATTTAAAAACCTGTGAGGGTATTCCAAGAAATTCTTACTTGGTGGCTGGGTGAGGCATTCGTTATAAAACTTGAGGACTGTATTTTAGGGTACTGGTGTCTACTGGAAAGATAATGTGAGCCACATAATATAGTTTTAGATTTTCTAATAGCCATAAGAAAGTTTTTAAAAAGGTGAAATTAACCTTAATAATGTGTTTAATTCAATATGTTAAAATATTTCAAAGTATATAATCAATAAGGGAAATTACTAGTAAAATATTTTTCTTTCTTTTGTATTAAATCTTTAAAATTTGGTAGGTATTTATACCGATAGCACATTTCAATTGCCTAAATATTCATTAGAAATAAATTGTTTAGATTCCATAAAATTTATAGCTGAAAAAGTAGATTTACATTTCAAAATTGTTCTGAACATAATTAAACTTTTGTATTTAGACCAAGTATCAGTTTTTAACTTTAAACTTAAAGTTGAATAAAATTAAAAATTGAATCCCACAGACTTTTTTTTAAAGCAGTAGATCCATAAGTCTTTTGATGTCCGTTATAGGCTCTAGTAGTCAGAATTTAATTTCTGGTAGCAACAAGTGAGTACAGAGAATTACTGTTTCTTCAAGGAAAAAGGAGAATTGTTTAACATACTGAAAGCTGTTTTTTTCTTCCATAACTCCACATCTGTCTGATAGTGATAGTTTGTGAAAGTTGTGAAAAAGGAAAGGTACCTAAGCATTTAAGTTCTTGTGAATAATTTGTAGCTGCCCATGTCTACATTTTCAATAAGGAAGTATTTTGCTGCTCAGAAATATTTTAAATTGCTTCAATTTTATTCTGCCCCAATACCTGCAGCCTCCAGTATTTTCTCACTTTCGGAAGTTAATAGTATCTGAGCTGTCTCTTCTCATCATAATTTTATGATACAAAGACTATATTTCAATGATTTTTTTTTTAATAATGAGCTATAAGAATAGAATGCTCAGGAATCTATCTCAGTTTGTCAGTATGTAATGATCTGTGTGTCATGATTTAATGGTCTGTTGTATGCCCTAGTAACATACTTAAAACAACAATCGAGGTTTGAGGGGTAAGAAGCAGCAGCTAGTAGAGAGCCTGTTAAGATGGAGAAAGTGGAAGAAGGGAGCTTGCTGACAGGTTGTGACAATCTCAGCCTTCTTTGAGAAATAGGAGCCTGTCCCCTCGCCTCCCATGTCCATACCACCCTGCTGAATCATTTACTTACAGAGCCAGCTGACTGGGCCTGGTTTCCTCTGGTGTCTGCTTTTTGTTACAGTTGTGTTAAACTTTTACACAGCAAAGTCTTACAAAGATAGCGACAGAATGTCAGTACAAATGTTAGTAACCTAGGTAATCAGTAGGTTTTTGTACAGAACTAGAAACCCTTTGTTAATTAAAGTCTTAGGAGGAACTAGACTATAGAATAAGGTTAGGAAGAAAACCATATTGTACAGACTTTAATTAAAGTTTGCCCTGTTTATATTCAAAAATACATGGACAGATAACTGCACTGACACTGTTTTAGCTGCTGACGTGAAGTTTATGACTTGATGAGAAGTGTTTTTGGACTCTTGAATTTTATTACGTTTTCTTCCTGATACTATTCTACAACTGACTGAAACCGTCACTGTTCCCTCACCCTATTCAACCTAAACTATTTCTTTCATCTTTCAGGCTTTTGAACATTTACAACAATTAGAATTAATAAAGCCCGTGGAAAGAACTTCAGGAAATTCACAGAGAGAGTACCAGCTGATGAAACTACTTTTGGATAATACTCAAATTATGAATGCTCTGCAAAAATACCCTAACTGTCCTACAGATGTTAGGCAGTGGGCAACATCCTCACTGAGCTGGTTATGAATATAGCCAGTGACTTCAGTTTTGGTGTTTCAGGCATACTTCAAGAGAACTAAAAACCATTGTCCTTTAATAAGATGTTATTACATTTTCTTATATTTATAAACATTTTTGTATTTATGGGCAACTTGCTGTGTCTTGCCTTGGATCATGAGCAGATACATGAGTTGTTATTTCAACAACAATTGATTTAGATGATGTTGTAAGGAGCCGTTCAAAAGATTAAAATGCGACTCTTTGAGGAATTGGATCATATGCTTATTTAACACTTGTATTTATATGGTCTATTTGAAGAGTTCATTTTAACATAGGAGGTAGGTGTTTTTACAAACCTTAAGCCAAAGCAGGAAAAGAAAATGGTAAGAATTGAAGTATAGTAAGTAATCTTTTTGGTCCAGTAGGGGTGCTGCATCTTTTTTTTTCTCTGTACACATGCAGATTTTTTATTTTATCCTAGATCCAGGTCTTCTAGTTCAGGAGACTGACCAGCTTAGACAGAGAAGGGTTCACATGGAAAAAAAAAGGCCCAGGAGTTTTAAGATTTTTCTTCTAGACATCTCAAAATGTGATACTTATACTGTCTACATCAGATTCCCTTGTAGGATTTGTTTAGAAACTACAGATTTCTGGAGCCCACCTTGTGTCACAAGGATCAGAATTTGCCTTTTTAACAAGTCTAGTTAGTTGTGCCACATTGTGGTCAATGACAGATCGCATGTTACAAGGATGGTCCAATAAGATTATAATACTGTATTTTTACTGTACCTTTTCACGTTTAGATACATAAACACCATTGTGTTAGACTTGCCTATGGTATTCCGTAAAGTAATATGCTTTATGGATTTGTGGCCTAGAAGCGACAGGCTATGCCTGTAGGGCTAGTATGTAGTAGGCTACACCATATAGGTTCGTGTAAGTACACTCTATGACGTTTGCACAGTGATGAGATTACCTAACAACACAGTTCTCAGAATGTATCCCCATCATTAAGTAGCTAGGACTGTACTGCAGATTTCTGGAAAACCACTCCCACAAAGAATGGGAAATGTAAGGAAATGTTAGCTGAATCTACTTATATCAAAAAGTAAATCCCTATGAAGAATGAGGAAATGTCAGTCAAAGCATTGCCTTATAAACTCAGAGATCCACAAACTAACACAGATATGTTTAAAATGAAATTTAATAAGTACTCAGTAAGTTTAGTAATTTCATTTGTTTAAGAATATTTTGCTCACCTATTGTGTGCATGTGAGATTTAGAAAAAACAGAGTATCCCTATCCTTGTGCAACTTATAGTCAATCTACTTAACTGTCAGGGGCCGATGAGATTCAGGTATTTTATTTACAGATTAGAAAACTAACACAGTAGTGGCAGGTCCAGAATCACATCCAAAATCACACAGGTTGGGAATGACTGACAGACTCAGGAATTCAACCTGAAGTTCAACAGTGGGATCCTTACCGAGTATTTTTTAGAAATATGCTTTAAGGAGCAGTTTATCTGGCTTTTAAGCCTGATATAGATATCTCGGATATAGAGTAGGACGTAAGATTTCTGTGCATAAATACTGTAGCTCTCCAGTAGTTATAACCCGTTGCTTTGCATATTTAAGCCTTTCCTTCCCCACACAAAAAAGTTCAGCATTCTAAGTCTTTAGATAACTGTCATTTGCCTTTCATCAGTTTCATTAAGACCTAACGCTTGCAGATTGATTCTTTGCCATGGTCTGTACATTTGCAGAGAATATTTTACCAAAATACTTAACATGGTAGTATCACTCTTATTCCCAGAAGCAAGAATTTTACACTTGAGCTATAATTGTCCTTTTAAAACAATTTTTGAACTATTTTAGATAAGTGTTATCCACCTTAAAGGGTAACAGCCTCATGAAATCAATTGTGGATTGCAAGTTTTTATTAGCTTAAGATGTCACTTCAAAGATGATAGCCCTCATCTCCCTCCCTGGATACACAAGAGCTACAGAAGATCCCTCAACAATCAGATATTCAGATTTTAAAACCAAGTAGCAAGGTGGGTTTTCATTTTCAGTGAGGTAAGCATGAAGTAGTAATTATAAAGCAAATTATTTAAAAAAAAAAAAAAAAAAAAGGCATACAAGTAAATGCCTACTACATTCCCAAAGCATTTTTTGTGGGGAGGAGACTTGTCCATATTCCCTAATACAAAAAAGCTAAAATATATTTGAAATTTTTGAACTAACTTCATCTGTTAGATTGCTTAAACTATCATCAGTAAGACAAATATCCAAATCTGGAAAGCCCTAGGAAGAAAAAACTTTCAAGAATAATATAAACTTACCAGCATGACTTAAAGATACTTTCGTCTTCATTTACTAGAGGAGGAAAAAGCAAAAACAGACACTCATGAACTCCCCCCGGTCATCAGATTGAAAAGCAGGTGACAGAATATTACTTAAGTGCAGTTTTTACTCCTGTATTCCAGATCTTGTTTAAAAAGACCGCTGTGCTATGTATGCATGCCTGTGAATGGCTCTGGGGAACTGAAACCTGTTTGGGCTAAACTTACTGTATCATAATGCCATATACGTTGAACACATAATACCTGTTAGCTTTCTAAAGAATCAGTGTTTTGTGGAATGCTATGCTATGGAAAACAATTCAGTCATTCCGTAGTTTTCATGCAGGTTCTTTCAAACCACCATGACCTAGTTCTGCCCCCCCGCCTTTTACCTTTAACCTAAAAAATATGAGACTCTGTTGGTGTGAACTGTGACTATGCCAACTAGCCTCTGGCTTCCTAATATTGGCAAAACTGCAATTCATACTTGGGTGGGAATATAATCTGCTTAGACAACAATGGAGGAAAATGTCATAATTGACAAGCCTCCTGTTACCACTATCCCCATTCTTGCAGATCTCAAGGTGTAAGCCTCACTACTCACTGTAAATTACAAAGCTACTATTCCCCTCTTTACCAACATATAGCTAAAGAAAAACTGCATATGCAAATCATATCATATTCATTTTTTTATTTAACTTGGGGATGGAATGGGGATAGCATACATTTTATTTGTACAATATTTAACAATCACTTATCCAATGTGGGGTTTTATGGGAATTTTTTTTTTTTTAGCTTTCTGTTAAATACTTGCCAAAAAAAAAAGTAGCAAGTACGATTTGACAGTAGTACAACCACCTGTGCCCAAAAACACTGACAAGAAATACAGAGTAAAGCTAAAATAATTGCTTACCATATTCTGAGAGGTAACAAATAGGATATGGGTTGAGACTGCATAAAAAATGTACTGCTGGTTGAATATCTGAGGTAAATGATGTCCAATCAAGATGCTACTTGTATCATTTTGCCCATAATCAGTAAATAATTTTATGTACATCATACCAAATGTTCCTAAAAAGTAATTTTTCAAAAAAGTAAAAAAGAGAAACCGGAAAATATCTGTGATGAAGCATTTTTTTAAAAAACAGTAATCAGTTTATTCCACTAAACTACCATCTGGCCAAGATTTTTTTTTCCCCTACCACCTGTGTTTCACCTAAATGTAGCTGTTACTTAGGAGTGAGGAAATGGGACAGAAGAGATTCTTTTTAAATTTCAAGATATATGATTCTATCTTTAAATTCCAAAGATGTTGATTTTTTTTTCCTGATTATATTTTCAAAACATCACCATGAAAGATAGTGCAAGTTCACGGGACTAACAATTGTGAGGCACAGTCTCTGTTGTGGAATTCACACGGTACCTGTAATAAAAACATTCAAACAAGAATCACACATCACATGCTAAAAACTTCCTAGCATCTACTATACATACAAGAGCTGTGCAGGGAATAAACTTTGAATAAAGCCAAACACTGGTTAATCCATCAGTCCTATGGCAGTTAATCATAAAGCATTCTTTACACGGAGATCTGGGCAAGGTGAAGAGTGTAAGTTAGAGGAGCAGTTCTGATGGGCATCAGAAAAGCAACATACAAGACAAACCATGAAGAGCACCATACACATGAGAGTCACTGGGGTCTGTTCGTCCCAACACAAATCACCATCTTTCTCACTCTTAGGTCTTTCTTCTTCCAGTATCCCTAGCTCAGAACTTTTTGTTAACTTGCCCAGTCTGCAATGACTGTAAACCAAACATTGAATACCCTGCAAAAGAAAGTTTTAACAAGACTAGGTATCAGGACAGGTAGTCACTGGAACATTCTTATTTTACTGCTTATAGAAAAGATTTTCTATTAATATAGTTCTCAAAAGGATACAAGTTTTAAAATTGATTAGCTACAGTTAAGTACAATATCCAGGATGTCTAAAAACTTCTAAGTTGAAGAGAAAACATCTTCTATTGTGAATAACTGGTTTTTAAAAAATTTATTTCTAATGCTCATATAAGCCAAATATTCATCATAATATCCCTTGTTTGTTTTGGTTTTGTTTTTTAGCTTTTAAAAAAGAGGGTGAATGTTTACCACAGGTAGAAATTTGTCTTCAGGAGATTAACAATTTTCTTGTTTGCACATTCTCAATATTTTCCCCCTTCTTGATGAGTTTTTAAATGGAAGCAAAACCAAATCAAGAAGTTGAGAAGCCAAGTACTTTGTGAAATAAAGAGGTGAACTCAACATTGAAATGGGAATTCTTAGGAATACAGTGAGACCTTAGATACACACGTGCCTAGAGTACAAGCAGTTCTGCACGGTGTGTGGCACACAGACAGGAATGTTATTACTCTTCTTTCCCTCCCTGCTCAGAGTCTGACCTGTTTATAAATAACAATTTATTATTCCCAGAGATTAGGTGCATATTATATGTAAAATGTAGTGTACTGCATGGCTAAATAACCACTTGAAGATAACATTCACAGTGAGCTCCTAACAGTGACATGTAAAAAATTCTTTTATAAATTAACGTACAGGTTTTAAAATGACCTGACAAAAGTACGTAGCATAATACTGGCTATTTGTTGATTAGTAATCTGAAAATTCAGATAATTAATGTTTTACTTCGGCCTGTATCAATTTGGGAAGAAACCAATTGTATTCTAACATAATCTTGTTTTGAAAAAGCACTTTGACACCTACCTACCATCGATTCCATCTTCTTAGCAAGGATAAGGCATGGACTATCCTAAATTAATATCCGAGCTAGTCATGAAAGCAATTTTGAGGAGGAAGGCTAGACATATAGGTATGTCCCCTATATCAACATTGGTTACCTCTAAGTGTCATTGCATATTTTAAGTTACATGTTTAATTTTTTTAATCCCTGATTTGTTTTAAAGCAGTAACATCTGAAATCTGCTTATGGTTTAATATCTCTACCCTAGGATAATTCTTTACATATCACAGACATCAAATATTACTCTGACAAGATGGCACCAAGCAGAAGTATTGTGATAAAGTTACAAGTCTCAAAGCAGAGAGTGAGGAATTCTGGGTAACGACATTTCCTGAGGTGATTCTAAAACAGTGATAAAGAATGTCCCACACACTGTTTGGTAGAAAGAAATACACTACAATTTTACATATATAAATAGGAAAAAAATCTATTTTAAAGATAAAATGAAGAGCTTTCCAGTGTCACAGCTCACTTTAAAAAATTTAAATCATGCTTTAAATTTTCAAATATTCCCCAAACACAGCACACCTTAAAAAAGAAAAAAAACAAAAACACCTAGGTAAGGTAAGTATGCAATATTTTGGGAACTGAATAGAAGATGGAGCTTTAAAACATGGGAAGAAAGGAAAAATAATACCATCTTTTCATTTCAAAAAACAGCATTTTTTCTCCTAAATTACAAGCCAGCACGAGAAAAGTGAAAACACTGCTTTACGAATGGCCACATACTGTTGGCACTAAGTATAGCTTACACCTTTTTTCCTTAAATAACACAGTGAATTTGTTACAAAACACGGATCAATTTATTATTCAAATTTTGTTAGTGTTTTTAATTTTATAATTTAGCAACCGTGGAACTGAGGTATACCTTGTTGAGGGAGGTTAAAGTAATGCTTGGAAGCCTCTTTACTGTACCCCACTTTGATGACTTTATGTACATAGAACAGCAGCACACTAAACATTCACAAGCTGTGTCATATTGGCATTACAATAGTCATTTATAGAAACAACAACAGCAAATGCAATAAAAACAAGTTACCCTTTTTAAAATCTGAAATGAAAAGTTTTTGATTTAAAAAAAAATAGCAGTAGTTCATTTAAGGAATTAGTGTCTTCTGACAGACATTAAGAAATCTGATGTCAGTTTTCAAACCCTCTAGTCGGGTCCAAGAGATCCTTGATGTAGAGAGGGCAACATTCTTCATGTACACTTTACCAAAGTTTCTTGATAGAGTTTGCAGTTTCTCTTCGTCTCATGTCCTTCACATCTGTGCTGTAGGCAATGCGGTAAGTCTCCCAGGGCCGTATGTTCAACAAGGTCTTCTTCCTTGGTTTCCAGGAGACATCCTACTCATTTCACACAGGAAACAAACTACGCAGTTTCATCAGCTTAGCAGCTCCAGTTCAGAGTCCCACTTCTCAGTGTGCACAGATGGTGCAACCATCATAGACTAGATTCTTTGGGAGGAAAGTCAACATTTGTCACCATCGTGACCACTGTTACAATGTCCTCTGTGGTAATAATATTTGTGAGTCTTTGCATCTGGGTGATTCTTTCACCCACACATCCAGCTGATAACCTGGCTTCTGCATCATGATCCCAACATTCTTCTATCGTCTCACAGAGCATTGCCATTCCCTGAAAGGACAAAAACATTCAAACACCACAGCAACTTCTGTTTTCTATTAGGAAATAGAGTAAAATTTTCATCAAGAAATTGCCATTTTTGTGAGTCAAAGTTTCAAGGTTAGCCAAGTTTGATCCTATCTGTCATCCTTCACTTAATTATTGAGTCTCACGTGCAGAGTCATGAAGAAAAGCACTAAGAGAAACTTCTTTCTTTAGTACTGGAGACTCTCACAATAGGAATTTTTTTAATTCCAAAAAATCCCTATCCACTGTTCATGAAATCAAGGCTAAAGCAAGATCTACCAATTTTTATTTTCTTAGTTAATCTAGCATTTCTATCTTGCGACTAATTGAAAGATCCTTGAGGATTCTCTACCTGATTTTATCCCTGTTTCCAGTTATAATTTAGACCAAAATGATCAGTGCAATACCATTTCATCAGGTGCCTAGTCTCTAGTTTTAAAGCTATCTTAAGAACTTGGAAATCTTCTAAGCCCAAATCAAAAGGCTAAAACAAACTCCTATGGAGAGGAGAAACATGGTGCTAAATAAACTTTTTAAAATGTTCTCATGTTGGAAGTATTGGAAAGTGGCGATAGCAAAGTTACCCAACTATCCACAGGTGAAGAGTCAAGCATTCCTTTTCCCTGGGAATCTTTCTAAATAGCAGACATACTACTATCTGCACAGGACCATTGAGACAAGAGCCTTCTAATAAAGCTCTGTGACTTCACAATCTCCCTTGTGGGTATACTGACATACATGCCTCTAATTCTGCCTCTAGAAGCCCAGTACAAAATATCCTGTGTAAGATCACCTCCCCAGAAAATCCTCCCAGAAGAAAGAACAACGTATGGAGGTAAGTTATACTCTGAGAAGTCTTCTACTGGAATCTTAAATGAAAAGCTAACTAACTTACAGCATGCTTCTGCCAATAATCTCTTAAAACGGGCCTCTTTTTTTTATGCACAACGACTTCCTGCATGTCTTCAAGAGATGGATGCTGGCCAATTTCCTCCTCAAATGGCAACATGTACTCATCTACAGGTCCTGAAATTAAAAAAGAAAAGTGAAAAATCATTTTAATTAAAATCTTCCTGACTTTCAAACTGGTATAAACTTTCTAATATAAACTTTGTATCACCCTTTCCAACTGTTGACTTGCTGCAAGGACAGAAGAGAAACATACTCAACTAGACTCATACCACAGTATGAGCATGATCGGGAATGAAAAGGTCTGCAATCTGACATGTAGCCCCATTGAAAATTGTGTAAGGAGCTTTCTTATCTATTGTATGAGGAAGCCTACATCCATCTGTATATGGGACACAGGGAATAGCTGACATTTGCAAATCAAGGATACAATATCCCTTTAAGTTACCCACTCCTTGCAATTCAGATCAGAATATTAACAGTTGTATTTCCATGTCTGGAGACTGGGTTCAAACCATTACAACCGTCTTCATTCTGAGCCGACCCAACCCCCTGCAAGCTCCAACCGAGGAACTGTGTACCTCTGAGGCCTCTTCTCTGCCTTCCCTTAAAAAAGCTGCCAAAAGTACATGTTTATTTATTTTTAGAAAATCACAAACATGCTCTCCAAGGTTCCCAACAAGTTAAAATGTGCCTTCATAGACAAGATGTTACTCAACAACACAAATAATTCCTTTTACTTAGGCCTCCTCTGATAAATTGAAAAATGTGTTTAAGCTCACGCCTGTAATTCCAGCACTTTGGGAGGCAGAGGCGAGAGGATTGCCTGAGCCCAAGGGTTCAAGACCAGCCTGGGCAACTTGGCAAGACCTCATCTCTACAATAAATAAGGTGGCGTGCACCTGTAGTTCCAGCAACTTGGAAAGCTGAGGCAGAAGAATTGCCTGAGCCTAGCAGGTCAAGGCTGTAGTGGCTGTGAATGTGCCACTGCACTCCAGCCTGAGTGACAGATTAAGACTCCAACTCAGAAAAATTCAACTAGGAGTTAATAACTAGTATTCAGTGATTACTCTATCCTGATAAGGAACTTTACATATATCACTTACTTCACAGGGTGAAGATGGGTATTACCTCTATTTTACAGATAAGAAAAGCTCAGAGAAGTTACAGAATATGCACAAAGGTATACAGCTGTTAAGTGGAAGAGTTGGAATTTGAATCCATCTCTCTGAATAACTCTAAAGTCTGTGTTTTCAATCACTGCATTATTGTCTCTCACTGGCAGGAAGAGGTCACTATTGAGCAATTTCAGCAGCCAGATATGTGTATACATAGACATAAACCTTGCACAAGCTTTTAAAACATACCAAATACTCCTGGATAGAATATAATGAATCAAGAAGGGATCACCTAACTTAACTTTCTTCAAATGCAAGAATCCTTGCCGGCTGAACAGTTTATCTCTGCTTGAGCACTTTCAGTGACTTAGAGGACTGGTTCTCTGGTGTCTGTCTATTCAACACTTATAGGATCCATAAATCAGTATTACTGGCATTGGCTAATAGTTTGTAAAAACAATGCAGAACACCAGGCCTTGAACCAGACCTAATGAGTCAGAATCTGGATTTAAACGATTTCCCAGGAGTTTGCTACGGCTATTAAAAGTCTGAGAATCACTGTATTTAACCAACAACTAACCAGATTAGAAAGCACCCACATTAGCAATGTTCACATTGCTTCCTGTGGCCCAATTTCTGACTTAGAGTCAGAAATGTCTGACTGCCAATTATTTCATAGCACATACAAGGTATTTAAGAAAAGTCATTTTTTTCCAAAAAACTTTGCTGATACCCCTCTTCCCCAAAACACACCATACTGTATTCATCCAAAGACGCTTACTGAATACCTATGTACTGAGCAGTGGGCTAGACAACACACCTTGCTCTTAACTGTCTAAGATATATTTTATTGTCTTAACTAAACTGTTTATTACTTGAGGACAGGGCCTTGTGTCCTCCATAATGGTATGCTACAGAGAGTTCATATTAATAAAGTTATGAAGTATATTTTCCTATATCATCTGTCTTCTGACCTGCTTCCATAAACACATATAACTCTTCTTCCTCTTTGAGTTTAAATACTCTGAACAGCTTTCTTTTCTTCCTATAGGCTTTTAAAATTATTCCCAAATTGCTTCAGCCTTTGAAAGTGTAGTATCCAAAATCAAATTTCATATGCAAGAGGCAGTCTTTCCTATACTGAAAGCCTATACAGTACTGAGAAAATAAAATATTCTTATAACATAGGTTAAGTTGGTTATGCTTTTTGAAATACTGGCTAACAACCACAGTGAGTCTTAAAGCAATTATAAGTTAAAATGCAAAAACCAGATCAAGTTCATTTACATTTGTTTGGGAGTTCAGCAGCTGGGAAATTTGCCTTATATTATCTAAAAAAGTGCTGCAACATATTTGAAGAGAGAGTAGAGAGCCAATGAAGGAACACTAAAGATAAAGTACCTAGAACACTAGGTTTGTCATACTGGGAATATAGTCACAGCAGGTTTCACCCCAAAAAGTAAATTTTTAAAGCACAAATATTTACAGAACTAGAACAAGGATTCAGTAACAAGAACAGAGCCAGGAGCAATGGCTCACTCTTGTATGATCACACGAGGCCCAGAGTTAGAGACCAGCCTGCACAATATAGTGAGCCCTTGTCTCTACAAAAAAATCAAAAGAATTAGCTAGGCATGATGGTATACACCTGTAGTCCTAGCTACTCAGGAAGCTGAAGTGGAAGGATCACCTGAGCCCAGGAGGCTATGGTTATCCAGCCTGGGTAACAAAATGAGGCTCCAACTCAAAAATATAAATAACAAAGAATAGTAATCTTTTAGAACCAAGGTTCTATGGTAGGGAATTTGACTAATGTCCACAATAATGTCTCTATCAGACTTTCAAAGCTTTAAAAAGGCAGGATTTAACCCATGGTATATCCTAACACATGATCACAGCTCTGCATCACAGAGGCTAGACTAAATCTAGTCTGGTTAAATATGCTGGCATCACTGGGGGCTGGAAAGACTCACCCTGAGATCAAGTCCCTTCCCTACATGCATCCACTTACTATAGCTGACTTCAGAACCTGGCAGGCAGGACCCACATGATCTTACCAAAAGAGCCTTACATCTGGTTCAGAGTTTCAAATCTAGGTTTTACCATTTACTAACTTGAGGCTAAAATAGGCAAGCTACTTAATTTTTCTGAGTCTCAATTTCCACATCTGGAAAAATGAGGTAGCAATACCTCCTAAGCTATTTTTAGAAATAAGCAAAAGGTATGGGAAGTGTCCTGCAAACATCAAGTAGTGTTTCCTTTCCTCTCCTGCCCTACCCTCTGCTCCTTGTGTCCTGAACTCTCTACCACCTCTTGGAGTCTATTAAAAAAAAAAAGTACTTTAAATTATCACCTTTATAATCATCCCTTTTCATGCATGTGTAGTAGGCATATATATCTTTTAAAAAAAATTTTTTTTCCCTTACCATCTGCAGCAGTACAGCGAGAAGCCAGTTCCCAGAGGACTAATCCCATGGCGTACATATCTATCCTCAAAAATGCATCCCTTTGGAAGTTTATAGCACCCTCTAACACCTCTGGAGCCATATACCTCCGGGTACCAACCTGAAAAAGATGTTGAAAGCAAACAATACTCATTCATTAATTTTATGAATTAGTATTTTATGATTCTGTAAAAAGAATAAAAATTAATTGGTCTATTATCAAGGTAAGACACATCAGACAATAGTATATATATATATATATATAAAAGTAAGATCCTTTCTGAATACACTTAAAAAAATATATCAATGTTATGCTGGTACAGGCTTGTCCCCTCTTCTCTGGAAGTAATCATAAGAAAATGATGATTATTAGGTGGAAGAAGATGGAATAGAGAAGAAAGTTGCATAGTTTCAGGTGTACCTCTGCATACTGTTTGAAATGTACCTTTAGAAAAACAATTCTTTTTGAGGCCTTGTTTTTCTCTGTATTAAAACAAATAAAAGTAAGCATAAAATGTACAAAGAATCAGCCAAGAAAAAGATGGAATGACTTTTTTACAAGTTCTGTTTTTATAAAATCTATGTATTTATTTATTCATGAATTCTTCTGACTTAGAGTCCTTTATTTATATCTGTCCTCAACAATTTGGTATTTCTTAGTATTGTAACTATGGTTACTAAGCTTGTACAGCTAGCTTTCGTTGGTGCTTGACAATATTCATATATGAATGCTTAAAAAATGTGTGTGTGAGGTAGCTGGGTAGATCACAATATATGTGAGTTGTAGTCATTTAGGGAGCAGTCTGGATATTAGTATTTCCATAAAACTCCATCCTTAGGTGACTGTGATCTCTGGACTGGAAGTTGGGCAATTATATGCACATGTAAATATAACAGAAGTGTTCTTAAAAAATAAGGACAGATCACTAAGACTAAAGTTCAAGTATTCATGTAATAAAGAGAACACTTTAAAGAAATAAAAAGTAGCTCTCCTCTTTTTTTACTCTCTGAATTCTAATCATACGATAAGCAAGTGTTTCCCAAAAGCCACATTTTCTCTTAAAGATAAAGGTATGCCATCCAGAGTACCTATTTTACTATGAGATTATGGCTTACCTGCCATTTTAGTGTAAAATGTCCTCTTATAAGTGTTCTTTCTTTGCAATATTTACAATGTGCAATATCACACAAATCCCTCCAAATATTTTTGAGATTTTCTGGTCCATGAAATAAAAATTCAAGAAACCACTACAATAAGCAATCAACTATGTTTAACTCATCATGGAGCCAAATCATGAGGGAGTTCAAAGATGGTGCAAATGAGTTCCAAAATTTTCCTCAAAAAAATCAGGGGAAGGGGTGCTTATGAGGTACCAAAGAATGACAGTGTTCCCAAAATTTAGTCTTCTGATAGTCAGTCATTAATTAGTTTAGAAGTTTGCCCCTAGACTTCCTACAAAATCTCTATCTTGGTAGTATTCGCCACAAAACTGCCTCCACTCCCATATGCACTTGGTGTAAGCTTTTCTAGAGCTGCTGACCATTACCCTAAACTAAATTCTTAAACTCTCAGTCAGTATTTCCAAAATGTGTTCTGCCATGATTGTTTAAAACATATTCTCGGGGATCAATAGGATATGCTGGGAAAACAAAGTTAGGAATCAGGTCACCAAGTAAGGCACAGATATGAAAGATAAAGGAATGATAAAGCCAAAGCCTGAATCATTTAGCTTTACAGGAAATGTCACCTTTCTGGTCAAACTGGTTTTCCTGATTACAAGGTTATCCGAGGAGTGAAGGCACCTTTCCCAGCCTCACAGCTTCTGAGAATAAAATGTATGGACAATGTTTTTTCCCCTCTTCCTCTTCCTAAATTCCCATGGCTGAGATTTTTTTGTGCAGACATCAACTAGAGACAGACACCTCACTCTGGGCTTTACAGGTGTTACTGAACTCTGGAGAGAATTCTGAGAAAAGTCATCAAGCTGATTAAAGGGTTAATGGAGCAATGAAGAGCAAGAAGCAGGAAACTAACTGCATGGAAGAATGGGCAGGGAATGTTAATACCTCACAGCAAGAACAGTGACTGATTATTCTTCCACTACTCCCATGATGGTGGACGAATGAAGTGGGAACTACTGAGTGAATACTAAGAACGTCTTAAGAATAAGGTCCACTAAAAGGTGTTGGAGTCTTCTTTGGGCCAATTTTTTAAAAAGGATCCTCTGACACGTGTCTAACGGTTGCTTTATGAAGTGCTTGATCTAAACGACCTCAGTCTTCTACCACCATATGAAAATATCTTCCTTAGAAAATTTAACATTAGAACTCTTTATATTAGAGCTGAATTAATTACCACAACACGTCCTGACATGCCATTCTAAGAAAATACGGGACAAGCTTATTTTTTCTTACATTTTATAATTATCACCCTTACCTGTCCATGGGTATCACCTGCAGACTTGCCGGCCTCAAATTTTAATGCCAACCCAAAGTCAGCAATGCAAGCTGTCAGGTTGTTTTTCAACAGCACATTTTTACTTTTGATGTCCCTTGTAAACAGAAAGATAAAGATAAATTAAGTTTAAACTAGTTATCTTTTTAAAATTTTTACTGAACGTGGAAAAGGGAGAATATGCCTGCAATAAAATTGTTATTTAATATGAAACGCAGAGAAAAATCAAGCAAAGTCCCCAGACAGCCTAACAAATTCCTATTAACAATACAAACAATAAGAGTCCTCTCCATAAAGCAGTCATATAAAAAACTGCCATTCCAAAAGTATGTGTTATCTATGTCACACATAGCTTTTTAAGATAATAAGATTTAGGAGTTTATAGTTACAAACTCCCATAGAAACAAATTAAAAAGTCAAAATGAAAGAATTTTCAGAAAATTGCTGAATTGGGACCTTTTGCCTATTGGTATATTTTGGAGTAGTCCCTTACTATAGTGGTTCTTATCTTCTCCCACCTGGTTGTTGAAAAGCATCTTTAGGAAAGTATAACAGAAGTTTTTTTTACTGTAACATACACTGCTCTAGTCGGATCCTGGTGTTCTGAAAAGGGTAACAGTTTTTTTGTTGTTGTTTTGTTTTTGAGTTGGAGTCTCACTCTGTCGCCCAGACTGGAGTGCAGTGGCCGCTCCCGGCCACCGCAGGCTCGACCTGCTGGGCTCCAGCGATCCTTCCGCCTCAGCCTTCCGAGTAGCTGGAATTACAGGCACGTGCTAACACGCCCAGCTAATTTTTTGATTTTATTGTAGAGATGAGGTCTCGCCTGCCCAGGCGGGTCTCAGAACTCGTGGGCTCAGGCAATCCACTCACCTCAGCCTCCCAAAGGCATGGGATTACAGGCTGAGCCACTGAGCCCAGCTGGGTAACAGTTTTAAGGCAAAATCTCCCCCTCTACATAACCGGTCCATCCTAGAGAGTACTATACCCTAGCTAAATGCACTTGTGCCGTGACCAATGGTTCCATTTATGTGTACAGACATACTGACAAAGAGTAGGAGAGAGGAGGAACAGGCAGGCACTCACAAATGCTACAAAAACCAATCAGTGTTAGTCCCAAAAGATTTTCACTCCTAATACTCCTAATAGCCTTTGCGGGGGATCCAAATGATTAGTTCCCTATACAGCTAGGTGGGGCAAGAAAAAAATGAAGGAAGAGGCAGTTAGACCGCATATAGGAAGAGAAAGCTACTTCTGAGTAGAAGTCGTGTAAGGTTTGTTTGCAAAATCAAATTCTAGTGGAAGTGAACTTAAGTAGTAATGCCTCCCAGGAGCCTAAAACACCATCTGGCACTCAACTGAATATTTGTTCAATGAATGAGTTAATGCTTAATATTAAAAACAACCATCTTTATATAGAATACAAGATGACAAACTGAATTCCACATTCAAGAAAATTAAATCTCATGTTTAAGAACAGACATCCTTCTTTTGGAAGGTATGACAATTGTTGGGCCTAAGTACTATTTCTTCACTGGACAATTGTTTAAATGATGCCTCCCTATACCTTAGGTAAAAATGATAAAAGTCATTCAGAAAACTTGCAAAGAAGATATTCAAATACATGCCTCCCTAATTACATTCTCCTGTATCTAATTATAATCATCTTTAAAGTATACCATGTTTTGAAGTAAAACAAATTTCTTTTTCCTTCGAGATAGAGAAAATACAATTTCATTTTCAACCATGCTTCCAGAAGTGAGACAAACTAAAACATAAGTGGATCATTAAACTTTACTAATGATTTTACCCATATACATTATCCAAAGTACTTCCTGGCCAATCTCAAAGCTAATTTAAAAAAAATGACTGAAAATCAATTGCAATGAAGGCATCACTGCATAATTAGGGGAAAATAAATTTTATTCAGGGGGTTAAAATTTTAAATAATAAACATATCTTCAATTATCAGGGAAAACAATATAAACAGAAAACAATATAAATATAGCTCTACCTGTGCGATATGGCAGGTTTGTGGCCATCTTTTAGGCCAGGTATATCCTCATGCAAGTATGCCAATCCTCTAGCCATGGTTTCTGCAATATGACACAGTTCATTCCAAGAGACCACATTAGCCTTAAGAAAGTCTGACAGTGAACCCTAAAGAAAAGAGAAAAAAAAGAAACTTAAGTTCTTGGCAAAAACCATATATATATATAAACTTTTATTTTTACCTGTAAGAGATTATGGAAGGGACTGTATCTTTCCTTTAAGTGCATAATAATATCCAGAAAGCCATCTTTCTGGGATAGTTTAAGCATCCTTCCACCTCTCATTAACAAACATTTGACCAGAAAGAAATACCACAGATCTTTAAAGTTCTGTTACAAGAACAGTTCATTCCACCAATTTAGAAAGCAAAAGTTTTTGTTTTGTTTTTTAAGATTAAAAATCTTAAGTTCTAGAAAATATTCTGAAAGTTAAAAGTATACTGACTATAGAAATGTCATATCATAGGACTAGGAAAACACAAAATTATGACATGAAAACAACAACTAATATAAAAACTCTCCCTCTGGAAATTGCGGTCATCCTTTTGGTCAAAAATTAAAAAGTAAAAAAGCCATATGTATCTCACAATGATGAAACTGATTACCATAAACACAATTTCCTACTTCACTAATGGTACTTTCCCATTAACTCTGAAAGTAGAAAAATTGAGGAAAAAGAGCACTAATGTTTCAGTGATAATTACCCTGCAAGTCAGTGAGAGATCAAGGATCAGATAAATTTCCTGACTCTGATTTTGTCACTGAGCTAGATTGATTAGTTTTAAGACACAAAATTCACGCTGAAAAATGGTTCACGTAACCAAAATGACTGTAAATGGTAGATGAAAATTACTAAGCACTGTCTATACTAAAATAAATATTTGTAAGAGCAGTAATTATAGCACAAGAAATCAGGGACAAAACACTAGTATTATATGAGTATAGTTAAAAATTACCATCTGTGCTCCTTTATTAAATATACATATATTTATACATATATTTTTTGTTTTTTTGGGTTTTTTTAAGTTGGAGTCTCACTCTATCACCCAGATTGGAGTGCAGTGGTACACTCATGGCTACCGCATCCTTGACCTGTTGGGCGCAGGTGATCCTTCCACCTCAGCCTTCCAAGAAGCTGGAACTACAGGAGTGCAACACCACGCCCAGCTAATTTTTTGGTTTATTGTAGAAGTGAGGTCTTGCCAAGTTGCCCAGGCTGGTCATCAACCTGTGGGCTCAGGCAATCCTCTCACCTTGGCCTCCCAAATTGCTGGGATTATAGGCGTGAGCCACCACACCCAGCCTATTAAATTATTTTTTAGAACAGATTTTCATTTAAGAGTGATTTGTATTTTCAGGTTAAATATTAATCAACTATAATGCATATTATCGCCAGAAAAATAAGTCTGAGGGATTTATAGCCAGTGTTAGGCAGGTAGGTCAACTCTGACTTTACTAAATTAACATGTTATGTCATTTTACCTTTTCATGAAATGCTGTGATTAGCCACAGATCAACATCAACACTGGTGCCTCGTTTTTCTGCACCAATGAACTGTAAGATGTTCTCATGCTTCATTCCAGGCAAACTATAGACTTCATATTCATTCTGCCATGACTGTTTGTCCTAGAGTTTAAAAGAGAGTACAGTAAGAATGCAAAGAATACAAGTAAACAAACCATGTCTAAGAGATTACTCAAGATGCAAAGTGAAACAAAAAAGGCTTAAATGATTCTTAGGTTTTGTTTTGTTCTGTGTTTTAACAGTTCAATACTAAATACCTGTCCTGCCCATTATCTCATAACACAGTTTTCTGTTTCTGGTTTATGAACAGAGGAGTTGATCAGAAATGTGAAGCTTCTAACGTCTTACAACAGCAATGCATTGTGCTTGGAAGTTATTGCAAGTATTACATTGTAATTTCATCATGGTGTGAAGTTACTTGGGGTACTATTCAGAATAATCTCCCAGAAAGATGAAATTCAGACAGAATGGCTTCCTCCAAATAGAAAATATTTGTTTTCAAAGACTATCATAATATCAAACATCCTTTAGTTTAGTGTGCCCTGCAAAGTCAATGAAAGATCAAGGGGCATAGATATGCAACACAATAAACAAAACCACCATACATTCATTTGTGCCTGCAAGTGATCCATGTCTACAAGATATTGACTTATGAAAGATTTGACTCTTTTCACTATAAAAGGACAATGAGAGCACAAGGCAACATGGCATAAAGGTTAGGAACCCTCTGGATCCAGTGTCTAAATTTAAACCCTGGCTCTCCCATAAATCTTTGGTCAATTACATAATCATTCAGTTTCCTCATTAAGTAAAACAAGATTGAAGTGCCTGTCTCATAGGGTTGTTGTAATACACACACACACACACACACACACACACACACACATTAGTGAGTACTAATATAGGCAAAGCACCCTTACCTGACCAATAAAAGCACTCAATAAAATGTGAGTTACTGGTGTTGTTACTGCTGTTATTCTTAATATCGTGCAAATGCCCTTTTCTACTTTTAAAGTCTCCTTACACATGTAAATAACTGCTTCCCTTATTTATGAATCTAAGGCACAACAGAATACACACTCTCTCTGAGATACTGTACTTTACAGTATCTGTACTGATACCAAAAAAAAAAAAGTAATAAACTTCTTCACAGACTCTACAAATAGGATTTGGAGGAGATAGGAAGGTTAAAATTTAGGTATATTAAGATAAAGAAGTTGCTGATATGATGACTTTGGAATAATGAACATCCACTATCTAGTGGTAGAGCCTGTATCATTAAATCCAGCCTGGACCTCAGGACCAAGGATATCATTAGCCATCAGGGTACATAAGCAGAAGACAGGGAAGACAGAATTATTATAATTCTATACTACCAATGAAACAAAACAAAATATAAGGAGAGCCCAGAGGTACATTAGATCAGGGTTTTATGAAGAGTCCAGCCACCTTTAAAAAAAAAAAAAAGAATTCAACAGTAAACCAATTATTTGGTGTCATGATTCAATGTCTTTGAAAATGCATCAAACAAAAACTGCAATGATTATAAATACTCAAGGTAGAATGAAAATAAAATCTAGTAATACACCTCCAAACAGCAATTCTAAGACAAAGCACACTACTCTTCTGCTTTTGTTTGCTTTTTCTGATAATGTCAAGGGGATATTAAATTTAACTACTCAATGAGGTTTTTTAAAAAATTGGAATCCTTACCCTTACTTAAAATTTCTGTAGAAGCTGGGCTCGGTGGCTCAGCCTGTAATCCGCACCTTTGGGAGGCTGAGGTAAGTGGACTGCCTGAGCCTGCGGGTTCGAGACCCGCCTGGGC